ACATTCTACAAAACACAAAGCAGCAGTGGGGTGTGGAGTGCAAGGTTCCAGAGGCTGATTGAGAGTTTTAACCAAGGCTGCTAAAGGTACACAATGGAAAATTACAGCTAATTGCTTCTGAACAGCTCTCAACAACACTCTGTCTTCTTTTGTGTTTGTTCTCTTTATATGTTTTTGCATTATTGGTTGTTCAAAATTAAACGTCCATAATGCTCGTGCTTTGGCCACACCTCTACAACCACATGTTTAGATGGACAAATGTTGACAAAACTGGGAAATATTTGTAAGATAAAACAGTGTGACACAATGATAATGCTCTCCTCATTTAAAGATGACAACTCGTGATAACTAGTGACAACAGACTTCACTCTAAAGAGTTATCAAACGGTTGCAGAAAAGCCTCAAACACATTACAGTTTTTAACAGAGACAATCATGTACTTGTGAGCAGCCCAGAAGCATGACTCAAGTATCAACACTTGAGGCCATGATTACCATTTGACAAAAACATTGTTAATTACAACTCAGAAGTTAAGTGAAGAGCCAGCATTGGAGCATTAGATCATAAATGAAGCCTTTGCCCCCCTTCAGCAAAGGTAGATAATGGGATTCCACATCAATAAACACTTACGAGATTTTTTCACATTAAGTGCCAGCATCCTACAAAAAAAAAACCCTATTTGACAGTAATATTTCCCCAGTATTCACTTAAGAGATTTCTGTCCAACTGTGCTTCTATTTATTTTTATGTGACTTTTATTAGTTTTTTTTTTCCTCTTTTCGGGCCAACACATTTGATATCTCTTGGTCTTGCAACCTTGTTTCATATAACATCTTCCAGCTAAGGTAGCCTTGCCTCCTTTGCGTTGAATAATTCATGACTTGCAATCCAATACTATTGGACTGGGGAGACAGGGACTCAAAAGTTGAATTACAAAACATCACATTCTTTCATCTCATGAAGTTTTTTTTTCTTTTTTTTTTTCTTTTTTTCTTTAAGTGCAGAGGTCAATTATGAATCCTCTGGCAATAGCGAGTATGAATAATACACCGAAGGGCTCCAAAACCTTGGGAGAGTTCCTCCGCTTCTGTAGATTATTGACGCTTTTACTTTTTTTCTTCCTATCCTCAGGTAAAAAAGTGGACCCTTTGTCTGTGGTCTCCTGCATGGTTCATGCCTCCTTCGCCTCAAGGCAAAAGAAGCCTAATTTGCACCGGCCTGTTTTGGGGCCAATTATTATAATACCAAATGTACTGGAAACACAATAAAATTGAAAACAATAAAGACCCCACCAATACCATGCATTTTAATAATCTGCTCATTAAAGATGCATTTTATCTGTTCAGCAATTTGCAGAGTTTTGCTTAATTCTCTTAAGACTCTCCTACATTACCTGCAGAACACGAGCAACCTGCTCTTGATGGAAATTGTATACATGAAAAATCACATCAACACTGTTCTTTAAATACCAGTGACCTGACATCCTTGCCTCAATTATCGCCGCTGTCTTCTAGGTGGGGAATGCGAAAGAATATTGCATTTTCACATGTGTAATGATTCATGCATGTGTGTGTGTGTGTGTGTGTGTGTGTGTGTGTGTGTGTGTGTGTGTGTGTTTCCGACAACATTAAACTAAAAGTAGGAAATAATGATTCTGTTCCTTTCTTTCTGATTTGTAAGTATATGTTCAACTATAAACCGCAAACCTTAGTTGCACTTCACCCTTAGAAAAGTATAGCATGTGTAGTTTTATATCTGGGACGTGGACATTTATTTCAGGATTAACTTCCGACTTCTGTTTGGCAGCCAGTCCAGCCTCACATGCATTCCAGTGCATTACAGTGAGTCCCTCTCTTTGAAACTGTTAGCCCTTCTTGTATTTATGAACAGAGTGAGAGAACCTCCCACATCACATTTAAAAACCAAAAGTACAGTTCGACCATTTGGCCACAACCCCAACAAATCAAAGTATTGAAAAACTGTGTGTTTTTATTTGTGTTATTTACTTAATTACTCATTGGACACATGTTTATTTTTAAAGCTGATAGAATGATGGGCACACCTCTTGTTTTCTTTTTTTTTTTAAACAATTGTTATTTGTGTGTTTGTTTTCCCGAGGTGGATGGATGAGAAAAGGACTGGGACAGGTAACGTTTGTAGAAGGAAAGCTCATGTGGACATTCACAGCTCCTCACCTCGGCTACTGGATTGCAGCACCTTTGTCATCTACCAGAGACGAGTGTTCACCATAATAATGTTAAAATGTTGTGTACAGAAAACAGTGTTTTTCTCTGTAGGGCCTTCTTTTGCCTATCAAACGGTAACATGGTGACACGATGGTTATCAGTAAAATGCACTGAATGACTATAATGACTGACAAGGATTTAGTTTGTGGTTGCTGTAAATTATATTGGAATTGTTGTAAGTTTTTCTCACCTTGGATTCTAATGGAAAAGATCAGTGACTATAAAAAGGGAAAATAATTGGCATATAACTTCCAGTATTCACTTCATTAGTAAGAATCAGCAAAAAGAGAAGAAAAACAAAAGTTGATTATGATGATTTTACGTTTTTTTTTACTTTACATACAGTGTTGGTGCCATTTTCTATTCAATGACTTATGCTCATATTCAGTTATTATTATTTGGATATATTTAGTATTTGCATACTACAGAAAATGTATGATTGCAGTATAAGTGCATTACTATGTTTATAATTTGCACTTCGTTTAACCTGCATTTAGTTTAAGGCTTAGAATTCCTAGAACGAACAGCCAATAGGAACTGACGCTGAGCAATGACGTGCTGGAGCTCACGCGTCTATTGAATGTAATGCTGCTGTGTGTTTGTTATATGTTGAGATCTTCAGTAAAGACGGGGCGAACACACTGTTTTCTACCGTCGTTCAAACTTAGACACGAGTAGACTCGTTCTTTCCGTCTGACTGAGTAGTTATTTGCTTGAAGACTTTGAAGACATTAAGAACAGACATTTAGCCATTACATACAGTATTTTTCTTTGTATGTTTCATTCAACATTTGATTTTATTTTCAAAACAATCTTTTAGGTTTCTTTGGACTTGCCGTCTCCATGGACTTCATCTTGCGCCATTCGTTTTTCCTGATGGTTCTCTTCGGAGGATTGCTAGTTATTGTCATCTCTCTTCTGTTTGGATTAATTTGTTATTGCAGGTAACATTTTTTTTTTAAATCTCGTACTAGTCAGTATATACAACAAATTACACGTGATCTTGACACTATAGCTCAAACCGTCATCCCAAATTCTTCCTTTTTAACTGTCACTTTAAAGGGATACGCCACTAAAAATCTTTTCAGTATGAGAAACTCATGCTAATATCAGAGGTTTGTCTAAATTCCATCCATCCATCCATTATCTATACACCGCTTAATCCTCATTAGGGTCGCAAGGGGGCTGGAGACAGACAACCAAGCACACTCACATTCACACCTACGGATAACTTAGAATCACCAATTAACCTCAACATGGTTTTGGACTGTGTGGGAGGAAGCCGGAGAACCCGGAGAGAACCCACGGGGAAAGATTCCAGTGTCCTCACCAGGACGCGAACCGGCAACCTTCTTGCTGCGAGGCAACAGTGCTACCAACTGCGCCACCCTGCAGCCCGGTTTGTCTAAATTACCAAACCAAAATGCCGACTGAACCCTAGTAACACTTGGGCCATGCTGCTGTACAACATGCAATCTTCACGAAAACGATCTTCTCGGCCGTGAAAGTATCCCAGCACCATCACAAGACAACGTATCTGACCATCAAAAACGTTATAATGACTCCAGCATATTCCGATTGCAGTAGACACACCGTCAGACGGTGCAAAAAACCATCGAAATTGGCGTTTTCCATGCCGAGGCGCCATATTGTTTTGGTGTTAGCTGGGTTATATGCAAGGTCAGCTGACCTACACAGCGAGATTTCTCGAGACTGACCTTTAACCCACATGTTGTCATGACCTCACTAACAGAATAGGTGGACACAAATGTTTGACTCAGAGAAGGTTCAGGCAAAAGACAGGTTTAATGACTGTCAGGGTTCGGCACACAGGAATTCAGTCCAACAGGCAGAAGTATCCAAGAATCAGCGGGCAGAGGCAAGATCCAAAAAGCAGAAACAAGGTCGAGATCAAAACAGACTGTGACTTAACTTGAATAACGCTGGTACGAGGACTGTGAAGTGCAACGAACTGGCGACGAGACAGTGAGACACACAGGGTAAAATACATGAGGTGATGAGGGTAGATGGGAAACAGGTGCGGGGAGGTAATCAGGGAACAGGTGAGACAAGACAGGTACAGGAAGTAAAACTAGAACAGGACACCCAGTGAAGTGATTTCAAAATAAAACAGGAAAGACGAGACATAATGTGCAGACATGAACAGAAACTTGACAGACATGACACATGTATGATAAGGACTCCATGACATTGTGTTATACTCAGGTTAGTGTACATGATAGGGTCTTGCTCCCTGACACTGCTACACTGGTTGAAGTACATATATGTGTATCATGGTGCAGTACGAGCATGTAAGAACATTCCAAGTACGAGTAAATAGAAGTTTTACCAATATTACTATTTGTCATGTTTTCATTTACAGTTGTGCTACAGTTCTAACCAAACAACAATTGCTCAACAGTTGACAATGTCTTGATTTGTGAAGTTTCATGAGCTAAAGTTTCTCTCTCAGATAGCCTCAGAATGTCCCATTCAAGCTTCAGTTTCTCAAAGACTTCACACAACTCCCCCCCCTTCTGCACCATTCCCCCCCTTGGTCGCTTTGCTCCCTCATATCATTTTCTTCTAGAAAACCCCTGTAATATTCATACAACAAACCCAAAGTCAGTTGAATGAACTGCATGATTACAAAGCAAACATATTATTTGTCCAAATGAAGGTGCCGTTAATGTTTTGTCTTGTCTGTAGGAGTGCGCCCAGTGAGAAGAAAGCAATGAAGATCCTCCCAAACCACCTCCACATGCGATGATGAAGCATTTGGAGCATCTTCAAGGTGTGGCACCCTGGACATGTTGTTAGTTCTGATTGTGTCCAAAGTGGTCTCTTGTTATTTCCTGCAATTAGCTTGGTCCCCCCACCATTATTTTTCTCATGTATGTTAGAATGCTTGTGTCACTTGTAAGGAACTCACCTGCCCACCTGAAGTGGCTGTGGGGCAATACCCACTTACATCAGAGGGGGGCAGTGTTGGCTGTGATGTGGCTGAACGCCAATATAGTCCTGAAGAAGAGGAAGAAGAAGCAGGCTCGGCCGGTGATAGCGCAACACAGCTAAGCTAGCAACGCCGCTTGCCGAGATGTCCGCGATTATTCTGTTTGCAGTCTGTTTACAGCGGTTGTTGGATAAATAAAATCACTGGAATCTGGACGGAAGTCATCGTCATTTGTCCGAGTGTAACAAAGGCGTGGCTTTCACCCACAGGATGGACCCAACCAACCATTCATAGAGAATGGGGATAACCAGCACAATTCCTCTTTAATTTCTATGCACAGCAACAACATAATAGCCAACCCCAATGTGGCCATCACGCTGGAGTGTAACGAACTGGAGCTCAACACTGACCTGAATGATGTGACGTGCTCGCACAAGACTTCGGATCAAATCAGACTTCCAGCATCTCTCACAGACAATTTGTTTTTCTACAACCAGCCTGTAGCCATCCTTCACGCTCCAGCGTTCTTCCATTTGGAGGAGCAACCGGAGCAGTGGAGCAAGTTGGCCACTCTGCCCCGCGCAGGGGCTTCAAACAGCGCCGCCGCCGAGCCGCTCAATAAAGACAGCTTCACCCAGACTCTGCCAAAAGGACGCACCGAGACCCAGAACCAGGCAGCAGAGACCGAAGATCAAGTCGGGGCTTTAGAGGGCTCTCCTGCAGCAGCGTCCACCAGAGGGTGGTCCAGAGGTCCCTTTGGCCTCCCAGAGTCGGGAACGTTAAATAAAATCGGCGACGACAGACACTCAGCACATGCCTTGGGAGCACTTTCTAAAATCCCATCATCTCAGCCTCCCCGGGCCTGGTTCGTCTCACTGGAGGGCAAACCTGCAGCTGAGATCCATTACAACGTGTCAGAGCAGCAGAGGAGGAGGAGGCCGGTTGAGAGTCGAGAAACCAGTTTGGACTCCGGGGTGGATATGAGCGAACTGAACCAGACGTCCACTAGGAGGACTGTAACTCTGGAGCGCAAAAGCACATCCAACAGCAAGCACACACCTCCACAGTAACAACTTACACATCTGCTGCTTACAGCCATCTAACCTCGTTAATACACTGTGTCGTTAAGTGACTTATTTATACGGTGGATCAAAGTTAGAATCCAGGATGGAAGCACAGCGATCTTTCTGCCGCCATATTTCACAACAGTCTGCATTTCAACTACTGAGCATGTAGAAAATTTCACATTTCAAAGAAAGTGCAGACTCTGTTTAACTTGTCAAAAACGTCTCATGTGCTGCCCACTTTTAAAGGCCTTTTTCCATCTTGTACTTTCACCTGAACTGTGTCACTTTTTGCAAACAGTGTCAAATTATAATTTCATTTAAATATTGGTCCTATTTGTCCACTTCTAGCTTTACAAAGGCAGCAGTGTGATTGTTTTTAAAGACGACAGTAGTGATCAGACGTCAGCCAAGACTAACTCATACAGACTGTTTTTAATTTTAAAATTTCTATTTGTTGTTTTTTATGTATTTGTGTATGTTTTGGTGTATAATGTACTGTGCAATGGATGCAATGAAAGACCCAAAACTTCAGTTAAAAACAAGTAAAGTAAGACATTTTTAAGAGTTGATACCAATTATCTGCCTGGCTTTAAAAAAAAAATGGAATTAACAAACTGAGTTGCTAATTCTTAATTTATACCTTTACTTTGTCGTTTGTATGCAGAGAACTTAGAATTTCTAGACCAAGATTTCAAATTCAGTTAAAAATCATTTGACATTATGTTTCTCTGCTTTTCTTTGAAGTTGTTGTTCAGCTGTATAACTTATGAACCTGAAGCATGTAGTTTTGACAATTTGAATATGGCGGAAAAACACAATTTGCTTCTGATTTTAAATGATGAAAGATTAATGAAAGGTGGATTCATGATCATGAATCACTGAAACAAAGCTGTAGCATTTTTTTCTTTGTTGTTGTATTTTTATTGTCACCATGAATACGTTGTTTCACACCTTTCACCGAAGAGAATGACTCGTAACTCATCGGTGTAAATAAAGTTCATGGAGGGCATGAACAGTTTTTGGTGAATCCTCAGTGTGAAGCAGAGCTCCGTCCATGATGACTGCATCTGCAGTCAAAGTCCACCGGTGGCAGGAGGATGAAGAGGAGGAGGAGGAGGAGGAGGAGGAG